ATTTTTCTACAAGAAATTGCTATACAAAACAAGTCTTTAAGTTACTGTGTTGTGAAAAGAAGACTACGATTATAAGAAAATCAAGGCAAGATGGTAAATTTTTATAGACAAATCCGGATTTTGTGCTCTGCCTCTCGGTGTGACAATGAATGAAAAATTCATCAGAATTGAGATGAGGGTGGGTGGGTGGGGCTTATATTTTGCTTTTTTTTTTTAATATACGTAGTCTTCCTTTCCCAGCAGGAAACTGAAATCATGTTTAAAGTAATATAAATGTAAATTCTTGTAGAGATGTAAGGATTTTGCAGTTAAGCTCTGTCCCCTTGGCTCCCGACGAATAAAAAGAAATCATAACAATTGAGATAGGGCGGGTGGGCGGGGCTTATATTTTGCCCTTTTTCTTAATATACGTAGTCGTTTTTTCAGAACAAGAAACTTAACATATGTTTAATATGGTAAATTCTTGTACACACATTTGGATCTCGTAATTAAGCCGCACCCCTCGATCTGACAACGAATGAAAAATTCATCACAATTGAGAATTGAGATCGGGGCGGGTATGGGTGGAGCCTAATCTTCGGCTTTATTTTTTTCTTAATATGCATAGTATTCTTTCAACAGCACGCTACTCAAAAACATGTTTTTCATTTCTCGTAGAGATATAAGGATTTTGCAGTTAAGCGCCGCCCCCTTGGCTCATGACGAATAAAAAAAATCATCACAATTGAGACGGGGTGGGTGAGCGGGGCTACATTTTGCCTTGTTTTTCTTAAGATGTGTAGACTTATTTCCACAACAAGAAACTTAAAACATGTCTAAAATGCTTACTGTAACATAGCAATTGTAGAAAAATAAGGATTTGGCAGTTAAGCTCCGCCCCCGGTTCAGAGCCAATAAAATATATGATTACAATTGAAGTGGGGTGGGTGGGCGGGGCTTGCTTCTTACCTTGATTTTCTTATAATCGTAGTCTTCTTTTCACAACAAAAAACTTAACTTGTTCAAAAGATTAAATTTTTGTATGGAAACACCCTCATATCAATTCTTTTCATTCGTTGTCACATCGGGAGGCAGAGCACAAAATCCAGATTTATCTATAAAAATTGACCATCTTGAATCAGTTTTAATTTTTTTTTTTTTTATGAAAAGAAGACTAGGATGTTATGAAAATGAAGGCAAAATGCAAACCCCGCCCACCCACCCCAACTCGATTGTAATGATATATTTTATTGGTCGTGAACCGGGGGCGGAGCTTAATTGCCAAATCCTTATTTTCTACCACAAATTGCTATATTACAGTAACCATTTTAGACATGTTTTAAGTTTCTTGTTGTCGAAATAAGTCTACATATTAAGAAAAAAAAGGCAAACTATAGCCCCTCCCTCCCGCCCTATATCAATTGTGATGATTTTTTTTATTCGTCATGAGCCAAGGGGGCGGCGCGTAACTTCAAAATCCTTATTTCTCTACGAGAAATTAAAAACATGTTTTTGAGTATCGTGCTGTTCAAAGAATACTCTGTATATTAAGAAAAAAATAAAGCCGAAGAGTAGGCTCCACCCATACCCGCCCCAATCTCAACTCTCAATTGCGATGAATTTTTCATTCGTTGTCAGATCGAGGGGCGTGGCTTAATTGCGAGATCCACATGTGTCTATAAGAATTTACCATTGGAAACATATTTTAAATTTCTTGTTCTGAAAATACGACTACGTATATTAAGAAAAAGGGCAAAATATAAGCCCCGCCCACCGGCCCTATCTCAATTGTGATGATTTCTTTTTATTCGTCGGGAGCTAAGGGGGCGGAGCTTAACTGCAAAATCCTTATTTCTCTACAAGAATTTACATTTACGAGTATGTCATTTTAAATATGATTTCAGTTTTCAGCTGGAAAAGGAAGACTACGTATTTAAAAAAAAAGCAAAATATAAGCCCCACCCACCCACCGTCATATCAATTCTTTTCATTCGTTGTCACACCGAGAGGCAGAGCACAAAATCCAGATTTGTCTATAAAAATTTACCATCTTGAATCAGTTTTAATTTTTTTGTTATGAAAAAAAGACTAGGATATTATGAAATTCAAGACAAAATGCAAACCCCGCCCACCCTCCCCAACTCGATTGTAATGATATATTTTATTGGTCGTGAACCGGGGGCGGAGCTTAACTGCCAAATCCTTATTTTTCTACAAGAAATTGCTATGCGAAACACGTCTTTAAGTAACTGTGTTGTTCAAGGAAAATATGTGTATTAAGTAAAGAGAAAACCAAAGATTAAACCCCATCTACACCCGGCTCGATCTGAATTCTGATGAATATTTCATTCGTTTTCAGATCGAGGGGAGGAGCATAATCGCAGAATCCATATTTACCTAAAAAAATTAACCATTTCGAACATGTTTTAAGTTTTTTGTTGTGAAAAGAAAGCTACGACATTAAGAAAATCAACGCAAAATGCAAACCCCGCCCACCCACCCCAACTCGATTGTAATGATATATTTTATTGGTCGTGAACCGGGGGCGGAGCTTAACTACCAAATCCTTATTTTTCTACAAGAAATTGCTATGCAAAACAAGTCTTGAAGTAACTATGTTGTTCAAGGAAAATATGTGTATTAAGTAAATAAGAAACCAAAAATTAAGCCCCACCTACACCCAGCCCTATCTGAATTGTGAGGAATATTTCATTCGTTTTCAAACCGAGGGGAGGAGCATAATTGCAGAATCCATATTTCCATACAAAAATTTAATCTTTTGAACAAGTTAAGTTTTTTGTTGTGAAAAGAAGACTACGATTATAAGAAAATCAAGGCAAGATGCAAGCCCCGCCCACCCAACCCAATTCAATTGTAATGATATATTTTATTGGCCGTGAACCGGGGGCGGAGCATAATTCCAAATCCTTATTTTCTACCACAAATTGCTATATTACAGTAACCATTTTAGACATGTTTTAAGTTTCTTGTTGTCGAAATAAGTCTACACATATTAAGAAAAAAAAAAGGCAAAATATAGCCCCGCCCACCCGCCCTATCTCAATTGTGATGATTTTTTTTTATTCGTCATGAGCCAAGGGGGCGGCGCGTAACTTCAAAAACCTTATTTCTCTACGAGAAATTAAAAACATGTTTTTGAGTCTTGTGCTGTTCAAAGAATACTATGTATTTTAAGAAAAAAATAAAGCCGAAGATTAGGCTCCACCCATTTTCACATTCGACCCATTTTTCACCATTTTCGAGTTCTAGAACTATCTTCCGGCCTTGTTTCTTTGATAACTGCAACCATATACTTCCTAAGATACGACTGATTTTGGCCAATAATATACTCTTTAAGAAAATAGAGGGTGGGTGGGCGGGGCTAGTACTTGCTAATATAAGACTGATTTTGGCCAATGATATACCCCGTATGAAACTGGAGAGGCAGTGGGCGGGGCTAGTATTTGCTAAGAGAAGACTGAACAATATCAAGAGGAGTCACTAGAATGAAGAAGGGGTGGGTGTTTTCTTATAAGACTGTAGAAAAAAATAACCCTTCCCTCATGAAAATAGAGTAGCCCCGCCCGCCCGCCCATATTTTCTCAGAGGATATGTCATCTGCCAAAATAAGATTTATGTCAGCAAGTGCTAGCCCCGCCCACCCGCCCTTTATTTTTTCAGAAGGTAGTATTTGCTAAGATCAGACTGACTTTGGCAAATGACATACCTTCTAAGAAGAGAGAGGGTGGGTGGGCGGGGCGGGTTCTTGATAAGATAAGACTGATTTTGGCAAATGATATACTCGAAGAATAAGTTGTGGGAGAGTAACCCTTTTACCCAAAACTCAACTGCTGGTTGTATTAACTACCAATTTATCAATTTATCAAGCAATAGCTTTACAACTTCCATTCAGAGCCGATAACATCAGTGATCAAAACGAAATAGGGGTGGGTGGGCGGGGCCGCTTCTGACTTCGTTTTAAATCTTAGGCGTTTTTCAAAATAGAATTCAGTTCCTACTTTACAGAAAATAAGATAAGTGAGTGAAATGGGGAAAAGAGATGGGGGAGGAGTTATTTTTTTCTGCAGTCTCATAAGCAAACACCTACCCCTTCTTCATTCTAGTGACTCTTCTTGATATTGTTCGGTCTTCTATTAGCAAGTACTACCTTAGGAAGTATACGGTTGCAGTTATCAAAGAAACGAGGCCCGAAGATAGTTCTAAAACTCGAAAATGGTGAAAAATGGGTCGAATGTGAAAATTTTCATTTTTAAAAAGTTGTCTAAAAATTCTCAAAAAAATCAGGGACGTGCTGATTTTTCATAAATTCCAAAAATTACGACATTTCAAAAGCCGGTTCATAGAATGCAGAGCATGATTATTATTATTACAACATCAACATAATCGAAGTTTGCTTCTTCTTAATCTAAATTTAAGTTGTAAAAATTGCGCTAATTTGCGAAAAGGTGTACGGTTGAGATGATCACCTGCGCAACAGTAATTCACTGTCAACAGCTATTTATCTAACGAATATTATATTCGTGTAACGTTATCGGAGACTTGAGCCGACAGCCTGACAGGAACATCCGACAGGAGTTTTCTTATCAATTTACTGGGGGGAAATGTAGTACAACCTACGTGACGCGTTGGCTGTGATGGAACTGGTCGAGCAATATCTGTATTAGGAAAAGTTTTAATAAAATGGAGCCGCTTTACGTTCCAAGGATAGCGCCGAGTTAAATATTTTTAATTTCTTTTTTATTGTCGTCGGGGTTAATTTCGAAACAGGGTAAACGCTGTAACATTTGAGTTCCTAGGTTGGCAACTAATCAAACGTAGTTGGAAGGCATGTCCTGTGCTGTGACTATAATTAACTCACCAGCGACTTGTGGGTGTAAATGATGTTGACAAGTCATTCTAGGGGAGGTGAGCACAACGTTACCACAAATGCGTAATATCCGAAGAGCGAACGGTAGTTTCATGCTGAGTGTAAAGTAGGTTTTAAATCAAATTCAGCTTACCAGTATAGTCCAAATTAGGTTGTGCCATTTTGGAAAGCCTCGACGTCCACGGCTGGCACGGCACCGGTTCGACCCCATCGACGTCGTTCACCCTCTCTGCAACAACCGTCATTACTCAACTTTCTCAATAAAAACCGGCATCTTTTCCGGGAGTGGGAAACTCGATACTTATCCGGAAAAACCGTATTCAATGTGGGATTAAGCGGCAGGGAAGACGCATCGCTTCCTACGCACTTATCCCGTCGGCATCCCGAAATAAATCGGGTCGCCGTCGTTATTCTTGTGACCGGAAAGAATAATTACCCCCGCAAAATGTCAATCTCGTTAAAGAGAAAAGAGCATTTTTAATATTACCGTACGGCCCTGAACTTACGAGTGCCAATCATTAGCGTTTTTTTAATAGTGGGTGTCCAGTTTAATGTCGTGTAAACGCCACCTCCTCTTCCGTTGACTACTTGACGACAAAATTGTGCCAACTTCACGGGCACCTGTTTGTGCGCGTGCTGCGTGCTGCAAAATCGATACGAACTGGCCGGAAGATTCCAATTTACCTTTGCAGACAAATTACTAACGATGATGCCGTATTGAACTTTTGTTTAGTGTCGGCGGCGGTGCATGGTCTGCTGGCCGCCGCCGACTCTGAACGGACGCGACGCACTACCTTATCGATTTAGGTAATGAAATTTTAGTTTTATGGATGATGGAACACACTTGGGGACGGTTGGGATGGTTTTATCTCGTTATGAGCATCGGGCGGATGGAGGCAAGTGCTCAAAGTAACAGCTTTGAAAGAAGGAGCAGAGGGAAAAGTTGCTGTTTTAACGAAATGCGTTTTTATGATGCATGCTGTAGGGAAAATCTTTCCAACGTTTTTTTGTAGCGTGATAACTTCATGTTCAATAAGACACTAAAACAGCGCATATGAAAAATCAATGTACGGATGACTAGCGTAAAGCTCTTAAGGGGACTCGCTAGACGAGGTATAATATTTTTTTGGTTTTTTGTATGAAAAAATGATACTAATATAGATGTATCATACATCAAACTGCAGCTTTTTTCATATTCTAGAGCGCAGAGACCAGTTCAATCAATTAAAAAAATATGGCTGAGAAATATCGTAAAAAAAGCACCATTGTATGTTTTCTTTTCAAGTTTTTTGAGTCATAACCATCATAGAATCGCTTAAAAATTCTCACATGGATAAAACATCACTTTTTACAGGGCGCAGAGTGATTAAATGTTTGTTAGTGGTACAGTTTGTTTAAATAATAATGTGTTTATTAAAACCAAAATATATCACAAATTAATGCAAAATACGTCGAATAATTTTAACAGGAATATCAGAGGAAAATTAATGATCTATTGGTTAGCAGTTTTTAATAAAAACTAACAATTATTGAAAAAAGTGGGTATCAATTCGACAGAATGTGAGCAGTTAGTTCAGTACTTTGCCGATAGGAGCGCCACTAAAATTTACGGAAGCGCCTGCTCTACCATAAGCTGATTGTTAGAGTTCTCGGCTGATTTTTCTAATTTATGGCAAGGAACTCAGTTTTATAACACGCCGCCAGGACCGGCCGTAGTAATCTATTGTTAAGGAAATTAACTTTTACGCAATGAGGTACTATCATAAAACCGAATTAAAACTGGGGAAGTATAATATTTTTACTCCACTCAGGATCCTGAATTCAATACACATGATTACTAAAAATTCATTGTAATATTATTATTAATATATATTTTGCTTTGTGAATTAATAAAACTAATAAACATATTTATAATAATAATAAAAAATATATAAAATACAGCTTTTGTTTAACACGTATAAGTAGCTAAGTGTTTCGACTACTTATCCCAGAAAGGAGGTGTTTTAAAAAAAACCCTACGCCCAGTAACTTCTCCCTTCATTGTTTACTCGAAAAAAGTGCTCGTATATGTTTTCATTTGCCGAGAGATCATTTTCAAAATATATTTATAATAAGAATATGCAAGTCTTGGTGATGAAAAATGTACTCTTAATAAATTATTAAAGTACATAAAAAAATAGAAACCAATTTTATTTATTTTAAAAAAATCTCTCGCAAAGGCAGGTTCCTCTTTCTTCTTTAATCAATTATTTCGGGCAATAATGCGCCAAAGTAAAATCTGCCAAGTTTATCTGCCATCTTTTTACATATTTCTTTGTCTTTATAAATTTTTTCTATATTTATTCTTTGGGTGTCCACACAACAAAATAAACTTGTGAAATACCCGTAACAAGCATTTGTCCTTGGATTTGAAAGTAGTAATCATAATTTTTTTAGTTACAATTCTCTGTCTGCCAATGTACAAAATTTGGTGTTTTTTTTTCTAACCGCTTCTTCGGGAGACAAATCTTGCGATTTTGAAGGACATTTAATTTCGACTAATGCATTCCTATCCTCTAGAATCCTGTCTGGACTAGCAGCCAAGTAAGGAAATTGTTTTGAAATAAACAAGCCACATCGTTCAGTTTTTATATTTTTATTTATTTCAAAACACTTGACAGCTTTTCCTCACTTTGCTGTCCATAGTATGTATGACTATTACTTCTAAATGTACTGTACAACAGAGACTCCACAGTTTTAGCTATTGCTGTAGTCGGTCTAAGTTTGTAAATACGTCCAAAATGTGAAGCCGTAACCCAAATTTCTCTTTCTTTTGCCCAAATGTGCCTGTTGTCTAGTGTCTATTTCAATTTGGTCTAAATTCAAAGATAATTTTCTCAAAAAAACCTCTTTGGCCGTCACAAATATTTCTACATCCATGACAGGATTTTCTAAAAAATATTTAAACTATAATCGCAGTCGGGACCAGCATACGTACATTTTTTTACGACATATTTTTTTTACAAATACTTTGTCTAAGACGAGCTTATTTCATAGACGAACAATATTTTTTTGTTATTAAATCAGGACCGTTTTAATCACAGTATATTTACTTATCCCCTCTAAATAATTGATGACATCATCTCAAAATTTTGCTGAATAAATCCTATCTAAAATGTACAAAATATGATGAGTGTCTTCTTATAATTTATCAACCCATTCATATTTTTTGGTTTAGGATATATAGGGGGACTCAAAAAATTTAATGAATGCCCAAAATTATTTTATTAATTTAATCAGGAACTACAAAACCGAATGCTTTGGAATCTTGCACATGGTTTACAGTTATCATAAGCATGAACAATTCTTAATCAAAATATATTATATTTACTTATCCCCTCTTAAAAAATGGATGACGCCACCCCAAAATTTTGCTGAATAAATCTTATCTAAATTGTATAAAAGATGATGAGTCTCTTCTTGTAATTTATCATTCTATTCATATTTTTTGGATTCGGATGTACAGGGTGACTCAAAAAATTTAATTAATGCGCAAATTTATTTTATTGATTTAATCAGGAACTAGAAAACCGAATGCTTTGAAATCTAATGTGAAAACAAAACATAATAGGCATGCAGTCGTCACGTTTCCGATAGCGAGGGAAGTACTGTCTAAACTCTTTACACCGATTTTTTTGATTTTCCCATTTCTCCATTTCTCAATTTTTCAATGTTTCAGTTTGGGAATTTTTCACTGTTTCGATTCTTCAATTTTCCTTCCATTTTTAGGTTTTTCAATATTTCAGCTTTGGAATTTTGCAATATTTCGTTTCTTCAATTTTTCAAATTTTTGATATTGTTTTCTCGGTTTTGAAATTTTTCGATATTTTAATTTTTCAGTTTTTAAAGTTTTAGGTTTTTAGATTTCTCACTCTCGACTTTTCGATTTTTCAGTTCCATGATTTTTCAATTTGTCGAATTTTTAAATTTTAGATTTTTTGTTTTCTTTGATGTTTTGAGTTCTCGATCATTCGATTTTCTGAGTTTTCAGGCTGATTTTTTTTGTTGTTCAATTCTTGGATTTCTTAAATTTTTGTTTTTTAAATTTTTTCCTACTTATCAACTTACTGGGATTTCAATGTTTTGATTTTTTGATTGTTCAATTTCTCGATTTTTTTAATTTTTAGTTTTTGATAGGATTTTTTTTTTTAAATTTTCAGTTTTTCAATTTATTAACTTTACGATACTTCAGTTTTGCTCGATTTCGATTTCTCAATTTTTCGATATGTTACTGTTGGGATTTTTCAGTTTATCGATTCTTCGATTTCTCGATTCTTCATATTTTCGGTTTCTCGAATTTCTTCATTTTTCGATTTCTCAATTTTCCGATGTTTCAGTTTTGAATTTTTTCACTTTTTCGATTTTTCAATTTTCCTTCCATTTTTCAGTTTTTCAGTATTTCAGTTCTGGGATTTTGCAATGTTTCGGTTCCTCAATTTTTCCATTTTTTGATGCTTCGATTTCTCGGTTTTTCAATTTTTCGATAGGTATTTTAATTTTTCAATTTTTAAGTTCTAGATTTTCCGTTAATTTTTTTGCTTTCCTTGATGTTTTGATTTGTCGTTTATTCGATTTTTCAAGTTCTCGGTTTAGATTTTTTGGTTTTCCAATTCTTCGATTTTTAAATTGTTTAATTTTTAGATCGTTCAATTTCTCGATTTTTAGATTTTTCAATTTTTCGGTTTACCGATTTTTTTTCATTTATAATGTTTTAATTTTTCAATTATTAACTTTTCGATTTTTCAATTTTGGTCCAATTTGATTTCTTAATTTTTTGATTTTTTGACTCCTCTACTGTTGATGTTTTGATTTCTCGATGTTTCAGTTTTTGGACATTTCGATGTTTCGATTTTTCGACTTTTTGGCTTTTCGAGTGTTCAATTTTTTGATTTTTAAATTTTTGATTTTTCTTTTCTTTTATTTCTCAATTTTTGGATTTTTAAAATTTTACATTTTTCGATTTTACTATTTTTCAAGTTTTCAATACTCATTTTTTCAGGATTTGAATATTGAGAACTTTTCAATTTCTGGATTTTCAATTTTCAGATATTTTAATATTTTGGTTTTTTAATGTTTCCATTTTTGGATGTTTTGATTTTTCGATTTTTAAAGTTTTTGATTTTTCGCTTTTTCTATTTTAAGTATATTTTATTTTTCAATTTGCGCCTTCTGAGGGAGTATTATTTGTTG